GGGTGCTTTGCAAAACACAGGCGCTACTTTATCTTTTACTGATACAAAGGGAAAGCAGTGCAAAAATATATGAGTCCCAGCAAGGCGCAAGCCCTATCGTGGTTTTTAGTGCAGAACATCATATCTTTAAATGATTAAGTGGTTCTCGTGAAATGCCCTGGAAGTTGTTCATTTATTATTCCGGCAGATTGTGATACTTGGGCCAAATTAATCTCTTTTGAGTCAATTGCATCGTTATCCCTTAGTTTGCGTTTCATCCGGTCCTGCCAATCGAATGGCCTAGCTACTTCAGCCCAATTCGTGATCCCGTTTAGAGAAGACCTGTCGAGAAGAGTGTTCGGCGTGATCTCAGCTATTGATTATCGCCTCTTGCCAGAGCATATCACAATTTTATTGGATGCTATTTCACTGTTATTTATCTTCTATTTCGATTAAATGCTTGTTAACCGGTTAGTGGAGTGTTTATTATATACTTAGCATGTTTCCTGAGTGCTATGATCTCTAATTTTTTTTCATGATTGCAATATTTTTGTTCTCCCATATTCTCGGGAGCTTTTGTGTTTAGCTCTGCTTTCCCTCCAAATTCTGTTGAGTATTAATTGGCCATATTTTTAAATCTAGCCTTGAGAATGCATCTTCTCGACAAACGCTACAGCGCTGCTCTCCAAGAGACCCTTTACTGTCTTCTAATGTGCCTACCACAGACTGAGGCATTCCGTACTCTGCACCGTCGTCTCCAGTGCGTCCCCGACAGTGTAGTTCTCCAGCAAGCCAAGTATGTTGTAATTGGGAGTTATGCCTTATACGAGAGTCTCTCCACAGATTTATTAACGATTTTATCCAGGAAAGGCATCCTTTAGTTTTGTAACTATGGTTGGAAAGAAAATTTAGAAAAGAGCTAATATATGTTGGCTTCCTATATTCATCCTTTCTTAACTAATCCTCTTCCAAAATGATAAGAACATCCATAAAGGGTAAGGGTCTATTCTTTTACATTTTTATTGTGCACCTAATGTTCCTTTCACCTTGGTCATGAGAAAGTAGGAAACTATCTAAACTTCCCTTACCATGAAGCCAGATGACAAAATATTATCCATATATCCAACAACAATTTTGGGGTTATTATTGCCTCTTCCAAATAGTGTTCCTCAAGTTTTGGCCCTATAGTTGTTCGTTAAGATGAGAGCTAAGCAACATCCCGTCGCAAGTTCTTGTGTCTGTTCATAATACTTACCATCAAAGGTAACCTAGTTGCTATTCATGGATGGGTTAAAAAGTATATATATGGAGGCCTTTCTCAACCTTATTTCTTGTGTGATCCCTGGATGCTCTAGTAGAATTTGTACTAGAGCCTTAATAGCTCCTTGAACAGTAACGTTTGCGTACATAGACACAACATCAAAACCTATCGTTTTCCTAAATTATCTACTGATTAACTAATTTTGCAATCTCATAAGAATTTTCAACTGAATATAACCTAAAATTGGCAGTTTTTCTTAGTTGTTTGCATAAAAAACGTGAGCTTTTATGCATCATTCTTCCTTTCATATTGCAATTAGTCTAAGAGGGACATCCTCCTTGTGAACCTTAGGGGGACCGGGAGCAGTGGGGGCCCTTATATCTCTCTGGAGTAGTTAATTTATTTTCCACCTCTCCATTTCTCTATTAATTAGGCATACCTTAAGGTCATCCTTTAGTCCTTCTTTTCGATCTCTCATTAATGGCATACATATGTTAATATCGTTTAAATGAACTGGCTTTTTTTCTAAGCAACTTGACCTACTCATGACTACCACTGCTCTGCTTGTATCGGCTTTCATAACACTTAGATTGTTACCACAAAAATATCTAGAAACCCTACTAAGAACATAAGATTTATTAGGCGGGATTATGTGGTCAAAATGAGGGGTCACCTTAGCTGAATACCATTCTTCGCCCCCTCGGGCAATCTATCATATAAGCTAATTAATTCATTAAATATGTCCAGAGAATGGTTTACCTCATTTGTAAGAGCAAAATTCAATCGTCTTTCTAATAAACGTTCTACACTATCCTCCATAGTTATACCGGATAGATTGGTTATCTTATTTTTCCCCAATTTGTTAAAAACTTGGTTACTACGATTCACCTTAGACACGAGATTTCCCGATCTTAAGTTCTCTACCTAAGTTCCAGAGCTTATTATCATTTATCAGTCGAATCATTCTCTCTGTGGCCTCTCCTAACCCGTCAGCCGTATCCTCTAACTTAAGGAAATCCACATCAGTCAGTACCTCTGAAAGTATCATCTAAGTCTGGTTTTGATTATAATTAATTTGTGTAGTCTGTTGAGCCTTCTTTTAACTAAATCACACAATACCTAATCAAGTTTCGTATTATTGGACCTCGATAAATTAAAACGCATACCGAGTAAGTAAAATCTAGTAGTGACATTACGAGAAATACAAATTTTTCAAAATTTAATTTTATTAGCCTGCCGGTATATAGCTTTCTTTGTTTTAGTGTAGGGAAAAGGCAATTGAAACGAAATTGAAACGTACATACATTGTAGATAGGATGAGTAAGTGGGTTTTGGTGAATCTTCTGAAATCTTTGGGGAGACCTTCATTTCATACTAAAGTTCATGGAGGATAGGTCTCGCCAGAAGAGGACGGCTGATTCCCGTTGTACTGCTACCGTTTGGCTTTAATTCGACGTTCAGGTTGACATGTTTCACGAAACATCTTCCCTCGTTTCTGGTTAAAACGGGCTGTCCTTTCGTCCATAAAATAACGGACAGCATTGGAGCTGGAACTCATTCTTATATAAGACTCACGTCAAGAAGACTATCTGGCTCTACTTTACAATTTATATATACTCAATTCGACGAAAAATAATTAGTAGGCATAGATAGATATAGAATGGTTTGGCTAATTATATATATTTTAATGTATATTATATGATGGACGAAGGCTCAGTCTTTTTTCACCTGAAAAGTGGGAGGATGCCTCGTGGACTGCGTCAACATGATCGTCGTATAAAAGTAAAACAACTACAGTGCAACGGGAATCATCCGTTATCTTATACTGAGCTCGACCTTCGAATCTACTTCGTGTCTTTTCATACGAAATGAAAGTTTCTCCAACCACGTTATTTCAGGAGATCTATCGAAACCTAGGTTATTTTCTTACCTTTATTAAATCTTTTATCTTTCTTTTCACAGTTATTGATTACATTTTAACGTACTTTTTCCTAGACTCCAATTGAGGCATTGGTTCTACAAGTGCAGATTATCACAAGTATATATATACGCGGAGTAACATAAATGAGGTATCACGCCTCTTGCATCTTCATATGTGCGCCCGAGAGGTTATCACTGACACTATACAGTTAAAGATAAATATTTAAGAAGTGGGTTGACCTCGTTGTCGCAACTTGGTCTTGTGTTCAGGGAGACTATGTAGAACGCAC